TGAGAGAGGAGGTTGCTGCAATAAAAGAAAAATTAGCTACAAGAGAAGAACGGAAACTGTCCATGTTGGAAAGAAAACTACAGTTAGATGAGAGAAAGATCAAAGCTCTTGAACAATTAGTAAAAATCAATATGAAACCAGAGACCAACATATCCTGAATTTATTTAAATAAATACATTTCATTATTTAGATTTATTTGTTAAAAAAGTTCACACAATGCTATACAATAAAATGTTCTATTAGTGTTTTTTATAAACAAATTAAGTAGTTACTTTCCTACATATTTCATCCCTACGTGCTGTACCTTGTAATAAATTGTCAACCATGTCATGACAGTCTTGTATATCTGCATCATCATGTAATATTTCTACGTCATATTCAATGTCGCCAGAATCTATGCAAATGTTGTGTAATACGCAAGCAGCAATAGTTGCCTTAGTAACAAAGGTAAGGGATTTGTTGTCAAAATGACGCAATCTTCGGAATGTCCATGAACTTGGCAGGCCTACTACAGCAGACCATGGTTCTGCTTACTCATATCGTTAGTGTTCCGTTAGTGCACGTTAGTGCCGCTGAAGAAATCGTTACTGCACAAAAGGAAACTTGCTATTTTAAAAAAATATTTGTGGGCCTGCTAACTTCATGCCAGCAGACCCATTTGAGAAAATCGATTCAATCTTTACACTAGTTAAACTAGCAGCGTTAGTGCTCGTTAGTGCCGCCACTATAATCGTTAGTGCTCAAAGTGTAACAGCTGAAAACGTTGTAAAAAGGGGTCTGCTAACTTCATACAGCAGACCCACATTTGTCAAATTGGCTCTGTCTTAATGCGAATTTGAAGCGGCTCGTTAGTGCTTCACATGCGAACGTTAGTGCTGCAAGGGATCCGCGGCAAAAAGGTACCAAACAACCTCAAAATTAAACTTGACTTATTGGGACCTGCCAACTTTACGCCAGTAGACCAACGAACGAAATCCGTTTGATTTTCTACTTTAATCGACCGGTAAGTATTAGTGCTCGTTAGTGCCGCCAATATAAACGTTAGTGCTCAAAGTGTACCAGCTCAAAACGTTGTAAAAAGGGGTCTGCTAATTTCATGCAGCAGACGCACATTTGTCAAATTGGCCCTGTCCTAATGCGAATTTGAAGGCTCGTTAGTGGTTCACATTCGAACGTTAGTGCTGCAAGGGATCCGCATCAAAAAGGTACCAAACCACCTCAAAATCAAACGTGGCTTGGGACCTGCCAACTTCACGCCGGTAGACCAACAAACGAGTCCGTTTGATTTTCTACTTTAATCGATCTATCAGTATTAGTGATATTAGTGTCGCAAAAAAACGTTAGTGCTCAAAGCGTAAGAGCTCAAGCGTGAAATTATGGATTTGCTACATTCATGCAGCAAGCCCACATTTATTAAAGTGGTCCTGCCTTAGTGCGAATCTGAAGCTCCTCGTTAGTGCTCGTTAGGACTTCACTTGTAAACGTCAGTGCTTTTAATGGATCCGTGTCGAAAAACTACCAAAGTATCTTAAAAATTAACTATAACTTATAGATTCTGCTGACAACAAAACAACTAGCAAAATTTGTTTCCAATCCAAAAAAAAGTCGAAGAGAATGAACGAAATGTATTTTGGAACTATTTTTAATTTTTTACAGGTTAATAATGAAATGAATTTCTTAAAGCATCGGAGTGAAAAGTCGTAAGTATTTTCTTTTAATAAAAAGTCAAACGAGTACAATAAGGAGATAGTGGCGTTTGAAAATCAACAAACTTTCCCCCCAAAAATTAATTCCGACATACCGTATATTGTCAAATAAATACCTTAGTTGTATTAATACAAGAAACTCGCTATTATTGGCAGGTCCCAATAAGTCAAGTTTAATTTTGAGGTGGTTTGGTACCTTTTTGGTGTGGATCCCTTGCAGCACTAACGTTCGCATGCGAAGCACTAACGAGCCGCTTCAAATTCGCATTAGGACAGAGCCAATTTGACAAATGTGGGTCTGCTGCATGAAGTTAGCAGACCCCTTTTTACAACGTTTTGAGCTGTTACACTTTGAGCACTAACCTTTATATTGGCGGCACTAACGAGCACTAACGCTGCTAGTTCAACTAGTGTAAAGATTGAATCGATTTTCTCAAATGGGTCTGCTGGCATGAAGTTAGCAGGCCCACAAATATTTTTTAAAAATAGTAAGTTTCCTTTTGTGCACTAACGATTTCTTCAGCGGCACTAACGTGCACTAACGGAACACTAACGATATGGGTAAGCAGAACCATGGTCTGCTGTAGTAGGCCTGCCAAGTTCATGGACATATATTCGGAAACGTCCTTTTAATAATCCTATCGCATTTTCTACAACAACTCTTGTTGCGGAATGCTTATAGTTAAAGGAACTTTGTTGGCGATTTAAATTGCCATTGTCTTTGTAAGGTGTAATCAACCATGGTAAATAAGTTGGATATACTGAATCTCTCAATAAAAATTTATTATAAAATGGCAATGTTCCATTTACAGCATTGTGGTACAGTCCAGATCTTTTAAAAACTCGTGCATCATGTAAACTTCCTGCTTCACCACCAAACACATTTATAAACCGTTTATAACTGTCCACCACTACTTGTAATATTATACTACGATGTGTTCCCTTTCTGTTGCAATATGCCTGTTGATCGGCACCTTTCCTATTTATTAAAATATGTGTACCATCTATGGCACCTATCACACCTTCAATTCCATGCTTTTGTGCAAATTCACTTGCAATTATGTTTGCCTCCGCAGGCCATTTGATAACAAATTTGCTTTTGTCGACTAAATAATCAATAACCTTTTTGGTTACTGACCATGCAGTACTTTCTGAAACACCAAACCGATCACTAACATGTCTGTAAGTCTCTTCGTTGGCCAAGTACCATAAAGTCATTAAGAAGGCTTTTCTTGGAGACACCTTCTCCAAACCAAATAAATGACTTGGTAGAACATTGGCAGCTTCTAATTCATTTAAAATCACATAATTATAATAAAACAATCATCTATAAAATAAATCTACCTATGCATGTATTTGCAGTTGTTCGATGCAATCTAAAATGTTTACGAAATTCTTCATCGCTGTATTTGGTAATTACATCCATAAATTCAGATATACGTACACGTTTACTGCGAACTTCTATATTCTCTAATGCTAAATCACTTGATGTATCACTAAACCGGTCATCGGAATCTGATTCGTCAAGTGCATATTGCTGAAACGCTATGTTACTGCCTTTTCCTTCGTTTAAAAAATAATTATTCATTTTTGTCTGTTGAGGTTATTGAAAAACTGTCCTGTCTGTCATAACATGGGGCAAAAGACAAACGCCTATTCTTTTTACTTGTGCTTATCTTACTTAATTCTCACTTTATCTTAGCTTACTTGGTCTTAGTACAATTGGTAAAACGAATATTACTAATGTGTAAGGTTTAAAGCAAATCATGTAAATTTTTTACCAGTATTTGAAGCTCTGTTGAGGTTCTTTTTGCGAATAAAAACTGTTCCTCGGCGAGAGGTGTTTGTGATGCTTCTATTGTAGGTTCATCGGCTATCTCCACAATCGGTACCTCAACCTCCATTGAGTGGGTAGCAAAATTAAAAAGCAGGAAACCCATTTACGTGCTACAATTTCACCCAATGAATGTTTGATGGTAGCACTACGCTTTCTTGCTACAGGTCTATCCATTTCATAATGTTCATCACTGAATTTATAGTCCAAGAGCTGGTGGACATTTTTGGGTAGGTATTTGAGACACGCTGAAAACGGGGCAAACACTTTGACGGGCGCCTTCAAAGTTTGAAAAAAATAATGTACCTATACTTGAAACCAGGAGACTGTGGCCCTGCGTCATTGATTTGTGAATCAATCTCAGACATATGCAGACACTGTAACAACTATCAAACTTGTCTGAAATTGATTCACAAATCAAAGACGCAAGGCCGGAGACTCCGATTTCAAGTGTCTACTGGCCGCCATAAATACATGAACACCTAGTGTACTTCGATCACTTTTGACGAAAGTTTCAGAACAATAGGGCCATCCCGGCTTCATTTTTCATTTCTGATCTACAAAGTACGTTAAAAATGAAAAAAACCCGTGTATCTTCGATTTTTATTTGGGAGTAAAATAAATCCAAAATAATTGATTGAAAAGCTGTGTTTTAGCCCGAATTTGAATCGCTTCAGTCTAAATATGTCATAAACAGTGCCGGATTAAGACACTTACGGGCCTGAGGCGCTACACCAGTTTGGGGCCCCCTCATATCATTAAAGAACGATACACAAAAAATCATTTATTGTTTTTTTAATCTTTTTTTTTTTATTTTTTTTTTTATTGAGGTTCGGGAAACCTTTTATAGGCTTCCCCGCTTGGCTCTATAGCGGGGGGTGTGTAGGACTCCCTTCCATCTAGGAAGGTTTACCCACTAAAACCCTTTCCTCTCTCTATGACCTGGTGGCTCGGCCGGGTATCGCCTGTTGGCATTCTTCGCGACCGAGGATGGTCCGGTGGCAGTTGTTCGCCACCTAGATTTAAGCCTTGTGTCTATTGCCTGTCACACTTATGTGCCCTCTCTTCGTCTTGTCCGCTTACCCTATCACTGTCACCTAACCTATGCCTAAACCTAATACACCCGCAGATCCCTTATCGTCGGCATTGTTTCAACCTAAAGGGATCTGCAGCACGTGGTTCGCATTTCCCCGATTTAATCAGTCCCTCTCCCTCTCGCGTCCCTCTTGTTCTATCGGTGTCACTCTCCCCGCACTATGTCCTACTCCACGAGTCCCTCTCTCTCGCACTACACACTACCCGCCAGTACCGCGCTATCGCGCCCCATCTCGCCTCGTCTCGCAGCAAACACCTGTACCCCCCTAGTATTCGGGCCTACTTCGGACAGCACAAGCACTTCCGCCCCCACTTCACCTGCCACTCTCACAGCCATGTCCAAGGCCACCCTACTGTTATTAAGATTAATTTGCAGCACTTTCATCGTCTTTCTGTTGCGAGTCTTTACCCTGCTCCGATTCCCCCTCCCCATTGGTGCCCGTTACTTTTTGTCCATCGCGCCTGCAGGCTTTTGTGTAGGCCCTATGCCCCTTACCCGAGCCCGGCTCGGCCTTTTCACACACGAAGCACGCGTCGGCCCCCGTACACTCTCTGGCTTGGTGTCCTTCCCCCCCGCACTTAAAGCACATACGGCTTCTATCCGCACCCTGGCATTTCGCGGCTAGGTGCCCCACCTCCCAGCACCGCAAACACCGAACTAACTCCGTCACAATACGCACCCTACACGATGTTAAACCGACACGTAGGTACCCTCGCTTAACTACCTCCTCCGCCGTCACGCGGTCCACAAACACATATGCAGCCATCTGCCCTCTATCCGTCTGCACCATGTCTTTCACGCGGCACCTTGCTTCCGGGGCAGCGCGCATGATAGCCTCCAATACTTCTTCCTTCGTCGTCACCGCGTCCAGGTCTCTAATTGCTATCTTACAGTTCTCCTCCAACAGCATCACATCCCTGTCTGTAATCGCTGCCTTGATGGTGTTGTGTACCGGCGTCACCTTACCGACCCCCCACTCCACGCGCAGGAGGATGTCGCCCGTTCGAGTCTTCGTAATGCCCACGATCTTCGTGTCGACCCCCGTCATATCGACCTGCCTAACTCTCCTTAGGATGTCCTCCATCCCGTTCCCCCCTTTAAGCTTTATCAGGACTGCCTCCGATCTCGGTCGCCGTCTTATGCTCGCCGCCGCCGCCGACGAAGTCCCCTCGCTATCGCTGCCTCTAGGTTTACTCTTTCCCTTTCTCTTTTTCTCAACCAGGGTCCAATCCCTTTCCGTTCCCGTTTCCTCCGAATCTCCGCCCGTGGAAGCCCTGTTTACCAGTTTCGATCTCCTCTGCCTCGCCTTGTTGATCTCCCTCACGGCCTTAGTTGTCTTCTCCTCCTCTGACTCGGTCATCGTCTCGCGTATTTCTACCCGCTTACTCTTAGCCATTCCACTGGATCCCGCCGTTGGAGCCGCCGTCGCCTCCGCGTATGTTGCACGAGGGCTTGTCTGTACCTCGATGTCCTGGGTTGCTTTGATCGGTCTCGTGGTTCCCTGGGCCGCGACTTTCATCTGAGGCATCATTACCACCGCAGTCTTCCCCTGCACCGCTGCCACCTTTAACGCCCGCACATACGCACTCCACTTCCTCTCAATGAGAGCCCTATGGTTCTCCAACGCCCTAAACCTGGCGTCGATCTTCCTTATTGTCTCCTTCAACTTGGTGTGGGTGTTCGTCGAGGCTCGTATAAACTGAATGGCTTCGTCTATAGCCAGCCTAGTTTCACCTCCCATCAGGGTCTCCTCCGTCTGTAGCTTCCTGATGTCCCCCAGGTCACTAACCGCCGACTTGGGAGATACCAGCACCGTATCCTCCCCCTCATCAGTCCTCCGTCTGAGCTTCTTAGGCCTAGACTTCTCCTCCCACACTTCTTCCTCCGTCGAGGAGCTGTCGTTCCTCTTCCTACTCTCCGTTCTCCTCCCCCTTTGTATCGTCGCACCATACGGGGTCTCCGGAACCACCTCATCCATCCGAGAGTTCGCTCCCGGGCGTACAGATAACTCCTCTGCACCGGATCCTTCCTTCCTGCTTACAGACAGTACTGGTGACCTCATAAGCCTGGGTCTGCCGGCCATGGGCGTCCCATACCTCTCGTCTGCGTCCGACATTATCACTCACTCCGCGCACTCGCAAACTACCCTACTATGTCCACTAAACCCTTGTCTGTAATCCTAAGCTAAACTTAAACTAAGCTACTATATTACACAACACTATGTCCTATCACTTGCCCCCTATTACGCGCAGGGGTAGTTCACCCCCCCCCGAGTGGGGTGTCAAAAGACGCCGCTAAGCACCACTAACCCGACGCCGTTATTCCCGCCTCGATCCTATCAACCGTTCCGCCTATATTGGCCTATCAGTCCTCCTCTTAACGGGAGCTGATAGGACTGTCACTTCCGCACGCACGACCCGATAAGGTTCGTTCTAGCCTCCACCACTCTGGCACACTATGGGCTTTCCACCGACCCCTTTCCCGAGCGTGCTACCCTTCTACTTCCGCACCCTGCTACCACGTGCAGGCACTTGCACCCCGCGCGCAGGGGTTGAACCCACCCCCTCGAGTCTGGTGTCTATACACTCGCCTTTTCCACCCGATTCAAACGCCACCGGTCCCGACCGGCTATCTCACCCCATTTCGCCCCTGTCGACCTATCAGTCGCTATCGCCTGGAAAGTGATAGGTCGGCAGCGCCCGAGGGCGTGGGCCGATAAGGGCGACCCGGTGCGGGTTACGTTCCTAAACCTAAGGCCTACCTTTTGGTACCACTCGCAACCTTATCGGATAGCTCCCTTGGAATTTGGCAACCACGCGGTCTCCTTATCTCCGACCAAAAACACGCAAAACTTCAAAAAATCGTATCTCCGCTGTTTACCAGCCGATTTACTCCATTCTTGCACTAAAAAATTCGTCTTTTTAGCGCGCTTCCACCGACACTACACACAAAATTATCGCACTGCAACTTCCGCGTTTCTCAATTTCTGAGCTTAGGAGCGCTTAAAAACACGTCCACAACGTTGAAAACCTCACGCGCGACTGTTTTTTTAATCTAGGAGCACCTAATGCAACATAAAAAAATATTATTTGAAACTAAAGATTAAAATAAAACCAAACATATTCACAATAAATATAAAATAAGGTAATAATATTCTCAACAAACAGTATAAAAAAACTAAACACGAAATAACACGGGAAATATTTATGCTATATATATTTTTTTCTTGCTTTTTGTGAAGCGAATGTATTGATTATTTCTTCGCTATCTAATGTTTCCAAAGCTTCGCTCTCAATATACAGAACAGACAGCGCAACTAATCTATTCTGACCAATAGAATTCCTGAAATAATTTTTTATGCGCTTTAGCACAGAAAATGATCTTTCTGCCGACGCATTCGATAAAGGAATTGTTAAAAATATTTCTAATAACGTGGCTATATTTGGAAACGTCGAACGGACTTGCCTGACTCGGTCATATTTTTCAATAATTGTTTTTGCATTGGTATTATCGCATAATATTTTAAAATGGCGGAACTCTTCTATCAGATTTTCTCCATTGATATCACTGGGATATGTCTTCATTAAATTGTCTAAAGATTGATTGATGCAATTATCGTCGCTTGAAAAAAAACATTTAAAATTAGATTCAGTTTGAGAATATGCGTCCAGTCTTTTTCTCAATTCCTGTGCTAATGCGTCACATACAGTGCGATCAATATTGAGTTGCTGCGCCGCTTCAATAAATTATGACGTTAGTAATCATTTGCCGCAACAGGCCTGGTGCACCAATACTAAAACATAACCTTAAAGCAAACTTTTGACGTTTAACCATATTTAACCTAAATCCACGATTTAACCACCATGTAAGTTTCCAAATTATGTGGAACTACACGAATAACGAATTACTACAAAAATTGAAACGATTTTATTTCTTTTACAACTCGTTAATATCGAAGTAATTGGGTAAATTACATGCACACTATAACAACTGTTCGAAGTGCTCGCCACAATTATTAAAACAGGGATTCACTCTTTTCTTCATGTTTTCGAAGCCGGCATGTAAGTGCTGTTGCGTAATGTTTCAAACGGCAGCTTCTATACCTGCTCGGAATTCGGTAATTCGTAACTCTGGCCGCGGCAGTTAGCAATATCGAGATCAAGATTTTTAAGTTGAGTTAGGGTTACTTCTTGCAGGTATTCCGCATGATGATGTTCTATTTCTAAAAATCCCATAAACCTTTCCACTATTTGCCCCTCGTGCACATACCTAAGAAGAGAATCTTCAACTTAACACATATCTATTATTTTTTCCACAAAAAACTTACCTTATAATAAAAGTCAGTTGGTCACAGTGGCTTACGTCAGGAGTAGAATCTAGTATAAGAGAAAAATATTTCGCAGCTTTAATTTCAGATACGAATTTTTTAAGGAGACTACTTTTTAGCACATTAATGAATTCATCACAGATATGGTGAGATATGTAACTCACAGTGCCCTTTCCTCGATTTCCATACCGGCGTAGATGTTCTGCCAAGAAGTCGTCGAATTCGGCTAGGTAGACCAAACAACTGAGATAGTTACCTCGATGAGGACTGTTTAAATTTTCGTCAGATCCTCGAAATGCTAGACCGTGAATAGAGAGAAATTTGACTGTTGCCAGTATACGCTGGAGAACCTTTTTCCAGTATGTTTCTTCATCGTGAATTTGAAAGGAAAAAATTCACAGATTTCGCAATCCATGCAACAGGTAGTGGATCTTGCTGAAGAAGAAGACAACTTTCTTATCATGGGAGAAGCTGAGGATCCAGAGGATATCAACATTCTAGCTCTTTCTGTGCGGATTTATGGAGACTCCTCACCACAAAGTCCCCCCATACGAACAATATTATAAAAATGTTCATGAGGTTTTTATGCGAAAAAAGGGAAATTTGATTAAAACTGAAGAATTTACGAATTTTTGAAACGCTGTATCTCCAAAATTATTAGACCTACAGAGCCGATTAAGGGTTTGAATTGTCACAAATTTTGTCTAATTTAAAAAAGTATACGACAGTAATTGCTTTAAAATCTCTCGTTCAGAACTAAAACTAACCAAAACCTAAAAATACTATAAAAAATGGCGTATTTTCGAGTGCTGCGTTGTTCGCACGACGCACAGGTCTTTGGATGTCGAAAACTTGAATTTTTGACATTCATACTCAGCCTAACAATTTAAAAAAAATAGAAATGACACATCTGATGCAAGGTATTATGATAATTTGACTGGACTATAACCCCAGTTGACGCGTTACTTACCCTCGAAGGTGAATGTTTGGTGTTTCTATATTTCTTGTTAAATCTTTTATCTTGAAATGAAATTGAAGTGTTGCGTACCGGGGTGTGATAGTGTGTACAGCGCAAAGCAACAGCAAGCACTTTTTTCAAGGTGGTGCAAGGAGACAGGTAAGTTAAAACATTGATGTCACTTGTGAAATGTGGTTATATTTTTTTTATGTGAACAAAGTAAACAATCAAGTAATTTCTCTTGTCTTTAGGCTTGAATTATGGGCCAACAAAATTGGAATGCCAGAGTTACTAAATCCCAGTCACAAGAATGCCAGGATCTGCGCTCTTCATTTTAGTGATGACAGCTTTAAAAATAAGAAAAAAAAACAGATTAAAAGAAGATGCAATCCTTGATGTTAGGTATGTAATTTAATGTAAGAGTGTAGTAACGGACACCACAGACTTTAGATATTTTCACCCGATTTGGACGATGTGTATAATATCTCCGGATAAATGAATGGATTCAATTTAAATGAAACCATTGTTGGCTTTGACGACATTGAAAATGCACTACGGATTGTGTCCACCCACCTCGTGTTTGCTTGATGATCAAAAGGCAAGAAGTCGGACAACAATCCATATCCGTTGATATTATACACGACGTCCAACGACGTCCGATTTTATCCAAACACTCCCGATTTCTTTGTCTAATCGTGCCATCTGATTTACATGCGATGCAAATCGGATGAAAACATCGGAAGTCTGTGGGGCCCTAAAGGATTAATTATGGGTTAGTAATGCATCAAGAGAATGAATTATTATTACAAGAGATAACATTTTTTTATCATTGTAGAGTTGCAACAAATAAATGTAGGCACCGCAGAGGCAGACACAATATATCCTAGCTGTAGTCTTTCTATTTCTCCAGTACCAGGTCAATACATACCTACCTATTAATAAAATTACTCTAAATTCACTTGTAATTTGTATTATATAACTAATATTCAGGTGTTGCCTGCCAAACTGTGAAGCTTCTTACTGCATCCACTCCAAGAAAACGGAAGCTTCAAAGAGAAAATACTCGCCTTAGAAAATATGTGACGCAACTTGAAGAACAACTTCAGAATAAAAAATTCACAGATGGTGATTTTAAACAATTTTGCGACGATAATTTTAATAAAGATGTTGGAAGTTTCGTAAAAATCCAATTGGAGTTATGCCGAAAGAAAGCACAGGGTTACCGTTATAGTAAGAGTTTCAAACAATTTGCTCTCACAATGTATTTTTTGGGTCCCAAAGTATATGTTTTTAATATCAAGAAAATTTAATCTGCCTTCAAAATCTACATTATGCCGTTTCACCAGTAAATGGAATATTACATCAGGGTTAAATAATATTACTTTTAGTATTTTAAAAACTAGTTTGAAGACAAAACCTGCTACATATAAAGATTGTATTTTATGTGCAGATGAAATGTCATAATTTTTTTATAATGTGTCACAAGATAGAATAATAGGATATCATGAGGTAGGTGAACATAAAACACATACCTGCAAATAGTGCTTTGGTATTAATGGCTCGAGGTGTTCATGAAAGGTGGACAGCCAATTGCTTACTTTTTTGTCAACGTAACATATACACCAACTTTAGATCGTACGATAGTAATAATAGTAAATTAATTATATGTAAGGATAGTTTTGTAAATTACATCAAGATGTTGGATGAAGTATTTGTTAAGAAACTTCCAGGTTTGGCTAATAAACCACATGTTGGTGCATTATTAAAAGAACTTTTGACCAAAGTTCAGTTCCAACTGCCATGCTCATATTTTCCAATAGATTACTTATTAGGATTATTTGTTAGAGTAAGAATATTTTATACATTAAAATTTAATAATTCAGATTTTAAGAAACACAATGCAAAATTGTTCAACGTAAGACATTATTTGTGAATTCGACGTTGTAATACCATATTATATTATTAATACTGTATGTATTCGCTATTGTAAATAAAGTTTTTTTTTTTGGAAAAATTGTGTAGTGTTTATGACTGGTTGACAAGACACCATGTTTTCTAGTGTCGTTGATGAAAAAGCTTAAAAACAGCTATATGTTGCATGTGTAATGCAGACGTTATGTAATGCATTATTTTTCTTTGGGATATCAGGTGAATTGATAACGAAACGAAATCAAAATCACATCAACATAGATAAACAATTGTAACCCATACCTAACTCTACATTCAATATAACCTGGTCACATCTCTAATTTTAAATGCGCAGTAAGCTTTGTACGATACCAGTCATGCAGACTATATGAGGACAAAACTAAAAACTGGGAGGAAATCGCTAAAGAAATCGGAATGAAAAGTGGTAAGTTTATTTATTATAAAGTGTACATATCTCAATATTTCCCTCTAGCAACACTTTCCCTCTGCCAAGGTACCACTCCTGCGGAGTTGAAATAATTTGTATAATTTTCTCGAATCTGAAAAGCTTTCTGTGTACTTCGAGCATTGCTCGATTTCAAGGAGAGCAGCTGATCTTGCGGCATATCTTCGTTGTCTTCCTCTTCACTTTGACGTACTGAATATTTCCTTAAATAATTGTGCAATACACATGCTGTCTTAACAACATTAATCACGCTTTCTACTTTAATTTCAAAAGGTGTTCGGAAAACTTGAAAACGCGAGGCAAGTATACCAAAAGCGCATTCAACCGTTTGGCGTGCTCGCGATAGTCGGTAATTAAAGACCTTGTTTTCAAAATTATCAGTGACACTTCGTTTGGGATAAGGTCGCATTAAATTCTCAGATAATGGGAAGGCCTCATCTTCTACAAACACATATGGCATTGAGTTCAGAAGTGGAGGCAGTACAGTAGGTGCCGGAAGATGTAGAGTATGATCCAGCAATTTCTTTGCCAAAACGCCTGTACTGAAAACATTTCCGTCACTAAATCTTCCTTGTGACCCTACATCAATGGTGATGAATTTATAATCGGAGTCGACGACAGCCATTAGCACAATAGAAAAAGTATGTTTATAATTAATATAAGAGGATCCACTTTTACCGGGCTTTTTAATGACCACATGTTTACCGTCAATGGCTCCAATGCAATGTGGGAATTGCCATTTTCTCTGAAAGGAATCTGCAACTGACTTCCACTGTTCTTCAGTTGGTTGTGGCAAATATATTGGTTGCATCAGCTTCCAAATTGCTTCAGATACCTCTCGCACAATGTTAGAAACTGTTCGATCACCCATTCTGTAGCTGTACGCCATACTTCTGTAGCTGTTTCCTGTTGCCAAGTATCTGAAAAGTAATAATGTGTTAAAAAAATTAAAAAGTTTGTTCATTTTTAAACTTTTCCCAGAGTTTATGAAGATGTAATTAATTCATTGTTGTAGGATCTGAAGCAAAGGCGTTGTGGGAAAAACTACGACATTCATTGAGAGATGCGATTCGAAGGCAACAAAAATGTTTCAAAAGTGGAGCAGCTGCAGAAACTATCAAAGAATGGAAATTTCAAAAACAGATGGGATTTCTGCAGCCTTATATGGTCAATAAATCAAGAGAAGGAAACCTCCGACAAGACGATGAAACTGAAAACCTATCACAAGATTTTGAATCCAATGTAGATCTTGCAGAGGTATATAATGAAAATTCACAACAAATGAACATACAGGACCAACCCGAAAATATGGAGGATGAATCCCAACCTCAGACACTTTCACAAACTGCTCCTACAATGTTATCTACAAAGCGGACGTTAATTGCAACCCCCAATTCAATTAAAAAAATGAAGAAAGATAATGTTACTACACTTTTTAAAGAAATAAGTATTGAGAAACGTGAGGAAAGAGCTAAAGCAAGAACGGAAGAGAGAAAAAATTTGGTACAGCAATTAAATCTTACACAAAATGATCCACTATTTCACTTTTTTTTGGCGATGTACCAATCTACTAAAAAAATGCCACCCTCATATCAACACATGGTTAAAAATGGTTTGTTCAACGAAGTTTCACAAGCGCAGGCCATGTTAATGGGTATTGGTTCTGCTGTCTACCAGCAGCCCAGCCCTGATCAGCAGCAGCTCTACTACCAGAATTTACATTCTCCTCCTGCAGCCACTCCATCCAGCAGCAGAGCATCATCAACTAGTTTCCATTCGGAACAGTCACTCTTAAGCACCCCTGAAATCTATCCGGAGAAAAACGATTACTCCACAAGTAGCAGTCGAGACGAGCTGATTAATTTGATCACTTCTTTTCCAGATAAATAATCTGATAAAAAAATTTAATAAAATAAAGTTACCTTAGAAATACACTTAGTTTCTCTTCCGTCCCGATGGGCCTTGTAGCGTTACATCCTTCTGCGTCAATTTCTTTTTTGATGATCTCATGCACTTCGATAAACTGGTCCCGGTTTAGCCGAAGATAATTTTTAAATTGTTCGTCGTTAAATTCTTTGGTCATAGCAAATTCTCCGTGACTTTTTCTTCTTTTTAAGTACAGACCTCTTGCTGCCTTTCTTTTGGTCATTTGGGAGATAAACAATACCAATTCGGATACGAGCTCATCTTCCGAATCAGATTCAGAACTGTCAAACGTAAGTGCCGTAGCTATTTCCATTGTGGGCCTGCAATCAACCGTTATTGCAAGAAGCAAACTGCGATCGTATTTGCGCGTTCCCGCGTTAGCAGTTAAACCCCCTCAAAATCTCACCGTGACTCACGCTGCGTCACCTCACCAAACTGCGAGTCATTTTGCGGCTAGCCTAAAGGGATATATTGTGCCCCCGATACAGCACATTTTCATTATTTTTAGCGCATTTTCTCACGAAGTTGGGTGCGCTATGGCTAGAGTTGCCAACCGTCCCGTTTCCACGGTTGAAATAAAGCGTCCCGCGATGTATATGTGCGAGACGCTAATTATCCCGCTTTATGGTAAAGCCAGCCCGGTTCGACAAAATTTTCATTCAAATAAAATTACGAACCGGTGCGCAAGTGGAACGGTGTGGTATGAATGTGTGATGTCAGTTGTCCCTTGTCCTTGTCCTTGTCACGTTGGTCTTGATCAGTAACTCAGTACTCACTTGTCTGTTACGGAAAATAGTTACGCTATTTTAATTCTATTTACGAAATCAGTTTGTGCGCTGTTCACGGTATAAGTATTATACGTATACCAAACAATTTCTTTGTTTTTAAATCATGTCTGATTCTGAAACGATTGACAGCGATAGTGAAAAAGTAAAAACACAAGAAATGCAAACGGATGTGCTCGTACCGGGAAGAATGGGAGTTTCCTTTTTTGGAAAAAGTGGAAACTAATGTGCATAAAGCCTTTTGCAACTTGTGCATGAAATCATTTTTAATATCACATGGCGGCTTAAATGATGTTAAACGCCATACTGGCGTTCCGGAACACCAACGGGGAGAAAGAGCTCGAAAGAGTACTCAGTCTTTACAACAGTTTTTAAAGCGCGATGTATTGTCAACAGACGAGGAAAAAGTGATAGCTGCAGAGTTGACAAAAGTTTATCATTGCGTTGACCACCAATATGTCGTACAATTCTATTGATTGTGATTCAAAGTTATGCCCCGTAATATTCAGTGATTCCAACAAACATTAAAAATAACACTTGGTAAAACTAAGGCGTCCGCTTTAATTTACAACGTTCCGGCTCCACGTGTAATTAGCGTAAGTATATTTCACTTCCGGCAACAAGCATGAAATTTTGAAAATAGCTTTTAGACATATAGAGGTTGAGAAAAACGCCGGGAGACACTTCGAGCGATGACCTTGACCTCTGTGGTGACGTCATCCAGGTAAAGTTAACTAAAGTAGGATATCTCGGCAACCAATAACCCGAACGGAATGGGGTTAGTTTCATTTGAAAGCTCTTAAAACGTACTTTAAAGAGTATTCTAATACATTTTATCATAAGTCTTATGGTTTCTGATTTATACAGCTTTAAAGAAGAAAAACAAAAATTAGACAAATAGTTACTATGGTAACGACTTGCTCAAGCGCTACATTGACCTTCACAGGTGCAAAGTAAGGTACAACTGAATCCAGCCTTTCTGCAACGGCATCTTGTGCAGTTTGTTTTGCACTTACATGCTATCAGTTCTTGCATCTTGTCCATCGTTAAACCCGGTTTTGAAGACCATTGGGGTTCGTATACTTCGTGGTTTTTGCTCCACCCCCACTGACAAGGCTCTGGATTGGCGACTTCATTTTTAAGGCAATTTCTCCAGATGAAACATTGCAGCATGGCCCTCTTGAGGTGATAGAATAGGACGTCACACGTTGGTGGTATATTCTCTATATTTCTATTAAATTGAGTGAAGAGAATTCGTCTGGCCTCGTTCACAGTGCCGACGGAAGAGGAGGCTTGATACAGCAACACGACGTACCGCTGAAGAGTGGAAAAGGAATTATTATCTTGAGTGATGTCTTGTGGCATCTTCGAATATTCTTCGAAAGCTGCATCAACTTCTCGAAACGACATCCATGTTTTCCAGGCACTAATTTTACCAACGCCAGCGAAACTTGATACAGTGTCTGCTCCGGTAAAAGAGTGGAAGAATGGAAGCAAGTCTGCCACGCCAGTTGGAAGCTTATTATGAATTTCGTGTATTGGTAGGTACTGCAGATTGTTTCCAGTCCCATATTCAATCCATAATTCGGAAACGCTTAATCGTTGAAAAGCATAAACTGCGATTACAACAACATCGCTGTCCACGGTTTTTATCATGATTCGCGAATGACCTGCAGTTGTACAAGCATGAGACGCATGGAGTAAAAGGCGGGCGTCAGCTTCTTCATGAAATGTTGTAAAAAGTGAACTGTAATACGGGTTTTTGCTGGAACTCAGCACTATTTCCTTACACGAGCAAACGATGTCTTTATCCCCGGCAATGTCAATATTCACAAGCGTTTTTGCCAAAAAAACAAAAAGTTGTTCTTTGTTAGAGTCATTTGCTAAAAATTTGCTAAACGACTTTGGTATGGTTACATTTGGTCCGACGTCTACTCTGGGTCCACAACCTCTTGCCTCTCTCGTGCCAGACTTAAGGCTTCTTGGAAAATAACAATCGAATACAATATCAACCCGATCTACGGCCTTAAGCTTTGCGAGAATGTAGGGTCCGCTTGTTGATTTTGCGCCCTCTTATGACTCCCCACTCTTGTCAGATACTTGATGTAGCAGGGGCGATGGTACCTTGCTTCCACAGCGACCAGATCTGGTGAAGTTAATTTCGTCAGAATTTTTTCATCTTCAAGAAGTGTTGCGTGCTCCAGAATACTTGGACCTATACCAAGAGTAGACGCTGATGTAAGAGGCCTATTCTGATCCCCCTCGTCGCAGAAAATGCACGTAGACAATGTCTTGTTTAGACAAATGCGATCTTGTGCAACGCGCGCCACTGGAGGTGTCTGGAAAGGCATCAATGGTATCTACTTCGGCATTGGGAGAATCACCCTATGCGTGTTCTTCTCAGCTTGGTTTTTTCTTTTGCAAAAGTCTGACTATTTTTTGACTGTTAAAACGAGTTCTGCACACTTTATGATACTTTGCATTGTTCGATTTCAAATCTTTGAGCAAACTTTCCGTTTTAAGGTAAGACGGGAGGTCACCTAACTCTGCATACCTTCGAAGGTTTTGAGAAAGGGAGTCGTAGCCACTATCAGTAGGAGAAATGAAAGGATCCTTCGTGGACTGTTGGCAAAGGACACACCTATCCCATTTTGTCACCGGTTTGAACCCCTGATCAACGAAATCAAGTTGCGTCTTCGATGCCATTTCAGGTATTTGAACCAGTCTGCAATAATGAAAAAAAAAGCGGAAGTTGATATCAAATTTCTGAAACAATCTATTTAACCCTTTAGTGGTAATAATGATCGGGGCATTGAAAAGGGTAGAAGCATGAATATCACTAAATTCCATAAATAGTACATATTAAAATCCTTAGCGGTTAACTTATTTTCAGCGTTCAGGAATAACTTTAATTTCGAAAAAAAAAATGATTCTAATTTGAATTTAGACAATTTCTATTACCCTCTATAAATTTGTAAACGTGGTAACATTTTTGCGCTGAACATTTTAGGTTAAGCATTATTTGTTGTTTCATTCATTAATTGGCCAATTTTAACGTTATTAGGCATCTTAAATCACATTAGAAAAACTTAATACAATTACCTATCCAAAAATTGATTCGGTGTGTAAAAAAACCACACAAACACACACAACCAGCAAAATTAACTACACAACAACCACCACCACTGCACACTGTAGCGCTGTCGAGTGTCCGCAAAATCGCAACTCACTACTCAGTACTTGCGGTAGTCCGAGTCCACGCGGTACTTTGGAGCAAATAGGATTGAAACCATAAGAGTTACGATAAAATGTATTAGAATACTTTTTTGAGTACTCTTTAAGAGCTTTCAAATGAAATCAACCCCATTGAATTCGGGTTATTTGTTGCCAAAATATCCTACTTCAGTGAATTTTACTTGGATGACGTCACCACGGTGATCAAGGTCATCGCTCGAAGTGTCTCCCGGCGTTTTTTTCAATATCTATATGTATAAAAGCTATGTGCAAAGTTTCATGCTTGTTGCCGGAAGTGAAATATTTCTGTGCTTTTTGTCGCTTATTACACGTACTATTAAAGATACCGTGGAAAAACTAAGATCAGGCGTGTTTTATAGCATATCAACAGATGCGTCAAATCACGGACACACTAAATTATTCCCAATACTTGCCAGATATTACTCCCCCGATACTTGAATATATACTCAGTGGTAGAGCGTCGGGCTATAAATCTGGAGGTCGAGTGTTCGAACCTGGGTTGAGGTGAATTTTTCATCTGTGGCAGAGATGGAAATTACCTTAGATCAGTTTCAAGCATTCTGCCGGCTACTCCGAATTAGGTTTGCCTAATTCGTAAGGTAAATACCGGAGTAGTATAGAACAATTTAAAAAAAAAGCATTATGAGGGTCACTCTGTAATTGGGCGCAAGCCTGTTGAGGGCCCAGAACAAGAGAGGGATTATATATATATATATGATAATGTTGGGTCATTTGCCCTTCGCTGGTGTACACCTGGAGAGCGGAAATTTGTGGAGTAATTCGAATACTCGCTCGAAAATGTAGGAGATGATACGTATTGCTTCATTGATTAAACGCTTCACCTTTCGTTTGTTGGCGGCAAAGTCAGCAAAGATTTGCTCATCATGTAAAGGTTGATTAAGGAGATAAGGCCTTTTGCATTTCATATTGTGATACCATGTGCGATCACTTATTTAGGTAGGATGACACAAATATTTTTTTATATTATTTTGTAAATGAAGCATACCTTTTGTTAGAACAGAGGTTTTCTTCTGCACTACCTGCTTTTGGCTAGGAGGATTATGTTTCGCAGCTGTTAATAAAACACAAACTTTAAGATTCATATCAAGTTAAATTTCACGGTTTCTTATTATTTATTCATGTTAATATACAGAGGAACGCAAAAAGGACACTTCTGTAAGATTGATCAAGGGTCAATTTTTTTTTTCCAAATGACAAATGTTTTTTTGTATTATTTTATGACTGAAGCACATCTTTTATTAAAACAGTGGGTTTTGTGTGAATCAAATTTGATGTAGCACAAAATTTTAAATTTACAGCACAAAATGGGCAGAACATTAGAAAATCCTAATTTGCGTTTTTTCGGTAATTAGTTTGTCAAAAACGATCACACATAGAAAGATATAATAACAGCGTTTTAAGTTTTTGTGTATGTACATTTCCGATTTTGTCAAAATTGTTTTAAGTTGCTACCGCATTCGGGCATTCCTAAACGTTGATTAAAATACGATATCGAGAACGAATGGGACTCCACCAGCAGGCGTGGACAACACAAACATGATATTTATAGTTTTCATTCAGATTGTGGTCAGTGTGATGGATAGGATTATCGTCATGTCACATATTCAGTTAATGATCTCTCTCACATGTTTTATTTAAGTCGATTCACAAACATTTTTCGCAGCATATAACCCAGAGTATTGAAAGGACAATAAAGGTGAATCTTGTGTCTGGCCGCTTATTAATGCAACTGCTGTAAATTCTGCGCTTCTCTTAAAATTTTACTCGCAGAAACATTTCAATGTACAACTTTTGAGGGTTTTATTAAATTTCAGTCATGATAGATGTTTGTTTTGTGTTGGGGAATTTCAAAGTATTTATCACTGCTCCGGTCGTCTTATAAATAATAACAATCTAGCTAGTTGTATACATAAGTAAAACTTGTACTTATAAATACATTTCAACAAAATATTTTTTATAACCTCGGCAAAGAACAATCTATTTGAATGCAAATGTTTATTTTTTAAGTAAATGTCCTTACACTACCTTAACCACACCATAAAGTTCGAGGATGCTAAAGAAATGTGTATCAGTGCCCCTTTTATGGTTAATAAATTTAGCCGGGTACTTTAACAAAACACACAAACCCTAAAGTAGCAGCGAAAGTTAAGATACGAGCCAAAAATTCCTTCGAAAGTTTTAAAATATATCTTTATCCTATATAACCTTGTACTGGCTTCCATATGGCGCCGAGATATAAAGCAGGGTTTTATTAAAACATGTGCATATATCTCCGCTATTCTCCATTGATCTTCTCCGGCATTCGATACAGGATATGTAGATAACGAATATGTAAAAGCGCATAGAAATGTTTCTTAATAAAAAAAAACTCGTAAGTACAAATGTATTTTTGATGATATCAATGCAATGAAGGGATTAGTAACTTTGGGAAATGGAATCTTGTAAACGATCGACTCGTCGAGAAACGCAGTTCGTTAATATACTTGGGAGTGTCACCTTATTCCTCATTAATGCTTACAAGCGCACTCACCTTAGACAGGTTTATCTTCCGTGAGCTAATGAAGGAGAGCATATGACAAGAGGGGAAAACCGTGTAGAACTTAACCAACGGTTTACCTACTGAAGGGTTAGATGGTCGGTGGTTAATCCAAAATTAAATTGACGATAATCTACACCACTAAAACAGGATTGAAAGCGATCCTCGGATATCAAGGGAACTAAAAAATTCCCACTAATAGTTACAGGTTTATGCTCACATTGGCATTCTATAAAATGGTTTGACAGCTTTCTGTTGTTTGTAATTATTAAAACCGTAAACTGCACAAACTGAACCAAATATATAATATGACATGTTTAAATTTATAATTGGAAAATACTAATTTATTTCATACTATCTAGTAATCGCCGCTTTCCCAGACTGATTTGAGTCTGGTAAATCGTATTTTACCGGACTGAAAATTTTTACCAGACTGGAAATTTTGCCTAGCAACCGCAACTGACATCCATCTAAACGTGATATTTGATTGATTGATTGATATTTGTCAAACTACTGTCAGATCAAACAAATCAAGTGATCGACTTTTGCTTTTATTTTAATGTGTACCTACAACATTCTAATCAAAATGGTATTTTAAGAGAAGTAGAGCAGTATGAAATAAAATGTTTTACATTATTTGTATGTTAAATCAGTTAACGTTACTCGTTTCGAAATTCCTGCCTCAGCTACGCTTCGGCAGTAAACATCTCACTCGTTAACGTAAACCTTGATTTACCATACTCATATGTAAATAACTATTACCCAAAATAAATAACGCTGAACATGACAAATCGTTTAATATGGTGGAAGGATTCTCATAGTTTTTACTGTAGAGTGAATACTATTTCAAATGGCTCGTCCTACTTATAGTATACTAATTACAATTTTTGCCAACCTAGTTATAGGTAAACTTGATAGCATCTTACACTGAAATTGTACGTCTTGCCGAACCTAATCTTTACTGAAAACCTTTTAATGGTAGCTTTTACGATCTACTCTGGCTAACATTACAGCTTCAACGCATTGAAATTTAATCTCCTTGTAGTGGGATAACTAAATTTAGACACTATAATTTTCCCGGTGCAAATAATTTACTCTATTTCTCACTTAATAATTAAACCTTCATCATTCTCCCTGGTCACTACAAAGTCATTAACATTAAAGGTTTCATCTATCACAAACGCTAATACTAAAAGCGGAGCTTATAATAATTAACTAAATATGTACTTAACGCTTATTTGAACATGCATATTTATTGAAATAGGACAATCCTGATTTTAAAATTAAATATATTCCCAATTTCCACGAGACGCTTAATAATATCTTAGTCCAGGCTAAATAGCTCTAAAATAATTTATTTTCAAAAAAAATTAGTTAACGGACGAAATCGTGTTTTTCAGGCAGGTGAAATGATTAGAAATTGGGAAAAAATAATTAAAACAGCTGAATTTTTCTGCGGATGAAATCCCGGGGGTTGAAAGTGGTGTTTTGCAAATTGTGGCAAATTAATTTAGACGAAAATGTTAAATGTAAAAGTTATAGAGATTAAAAAAATGAGCAACTATCTGCACTATTTTCACATAACTTCCAATTTTCCTAGAAAAATCGGAAACTGTTTTTTTCGTTTTTTATTCCTCGCTGCGCTCATTGGACAAATACACGTCTAGTGCGCCAAAGACAGTCAATTTACAACTTGTTACATAAATAGCTATTTCCCGTGTCACATAATACGTACTCCAATCCTTATATTAAATGTAACTTCATAACAACTCTTTATTTGGGAAAAAACCATGCATCTCTTTTGGCGTGCAGATCCGAATGTGATAGTCCAACCAATTCAAAGACCGACATGGATACAATACGGACACACATCTGCAATTGTTATGAAGTAATGTAAAATTGACAACATTTCAGTTATATGATTGTAATGTAATAATTTGTGATTGCCGAAATTAGGATACACGTGCATGAGGTTTCAAAACTTTGAGTTCAAATAATTGTTGATTCATAAATCATAATCATTGCCAGCGTTGCCAAATCAGTAGAATTTCTACTAGATCTAGTAGATTTGAATGTCCATTTAGTGGTGAAATTTTTGATCTAGTAGCTGGTAGATTTTCTAGTAATTTCAACAAAACGTCTGGTAAAAAATCTAGTAGTTTGCAGTTCCAACGAGTAAAAATAGAAATCCTAGTTGATTATTTGCATTGCATGTTTACAATTTGCAAACTACAAAGGGAGGCACGTGGCGTGGTCTCTGGTCTCCTCCGATTTCCGAACGACCGAACACGTGATAAGCAAGTGCGTCCGTGTCCTTGGAGTGGAAATCGCTTGCGCAGTTGCGCTTCATTTACATTAGTTACGTAATTACGTTACATTGCATCGCAGACCTGCCACCTGCGACGATAGTGGTTTCCTCGTCGCTTCCGGTCCAGTTCTAATTTATGGTACACAAATATTGGTACGTATATAATTGATAATTTTACAAATAGTCTTAATAAAAACAAATCCAAACATTTCAAGCAATAGTTAGTTTTATCCCACGGTGGTGCCAACCCGTAGAAATATGCCCAAACCTTTAAATTATTTTATTTTAAATTATCAACTCAAAAATTGAGAATGTGCCCGTTTCTGTCTCTTCTGTGCTTTTTTATAAATTGTCACCCTCAGATATGCTTCATGAATACACGTGTTATACAGCAAATTCTTTTAAATTCATTTAAAAGAGTATTTACTAAATTTTTCGTTCCGCATGTCTCGAATAGGCGTATTAAAAATATGTACTTCCAACCGGGTACATTCAGATAGTACGCGCATTTGCGTATCCCATGCTTACCAATATTCTCTTTATTATTTATAATTCATAATAATTTTTAATTTAACTTAATTATTTTTTCTGAAAAATATTAATCTTGGGTATTTTGTTTCGTTTCTCCCATAATCACAGACTTTCTGATTTCAGAATTAAAAATGCCGAAACCACAATACGAACAAAAGTTTAGACATGCTTGGCTCAAGGATCCCATTCTAAAAGATTGGTTAGTGGCAGTTGAGAGTACAGCAGGAACTACAGGAAAATGCAGAGTTTGCAACATCGTTGTAACCAGCCGATATGCCGATCTCAAGAATCATGGTGCTTCTATGAGACACAAAAAGAATGCAAAACTTATATTGGGACCACACCCTCAACCTCAATTGAAGTTTCCAGGGGAATCGGAAATGTTTGCAGCAAAACAGGCGGAACTAAAACTAAGCTTGTTTGTAGCTCAGCACACATCAGTGCGTGTGGTTGATCATCTCGTCAACACATGCAAAAAGACGTTCGAAGGACAATCTTCCACACATATTAAAATGCATCGTACCAAGTGCTCAGGTATTATACAAAATATAATAGCGCCACATTTCTTCAATGATTTAAAAAATGATATTGGTGATTCCAAATTTAGTCTTTTGCTGGACGAATCCACCGACATAACGGTGAGGAAATATTTAGGAATGATAATACTTTACTTTAGTGAGCGAGAAAATAAGCTTGTAACGACTTATCTTGATCTTGCCGTTCTCGATAACTGTGATGCTGATGGCCTTTTACACACCATCAAAACAACATTAAATAAATATTCCCTCAACCTGCAGAACTTAATTGGCATTGGTACAGATAATACGAGTGTTATGACAGGTGCCAACAACGGTTTGTATGTGAAGTTAAAAGAAGAGGTGCCTGAATTACTTCTAATTCGATGTGTATGTCACTCGTTGCAATTAGCAGTAACGCATGCCTCAAAGGAAACGTTGCCAAGAAACATTGAATTTATCATTCAGGAAACTTATAAGTGGTTTTCAAAATCGTCCTCCAGGCAATGCGCCTATAATGACATATACAGCACTATGAATGAAGGGCATAATCCTTTGAAAATAGTGCGAGCTTGTCAAACACGATGGTTATCCATTGAATCGGCTGTATCTCGAATTATAAACCAGTGGGATGCATTAAAACTACATTTTCAGCTGTCTAGAGTGAAAGACAATTCTTATACTGCTGAACTTTTGTACCAAATGTACAATGACAACAAGAATTTCGCGTACATTGCTTTTCTCAGTTCGGTGCTAGGTGATGTGCAACGTGTAAATAAATTGTTTGAAGGGAATCAAGTAGATCCTACTAAATTATTAAAAGACATTCTACTTCTACTAGAAAGCCTTATTAAAAGAGTTACTGCACCAAGACATCAACTGGATTTACTCACTGTGGACATAAACAACTTTGTTGATAAGCATTGTTACCTTGGATATTTATTCGAGAAAACAGTGAGAGAAATGAAAGAAAATGGTACTTTGTCAGCAGAGGAAGAGCGATGTTTACGCGATAGGTGTATTCATTTTATTGTCAATTTGATACAGGAAATACAAATGAGACTACCTACTAATGTTGAACTGTTGAAGAAAATTTCTCTCTTGAGTGTTGAAAATACATTGAAGTGTGATAAAGAAAACATTGCTGAATTGCTCTGTTTTTTCAAACAACCTGCTCAATTAATCCCTAAAATTGAATCACAATATATGAATATCAACCTTATTAAGTGGAACAATAAATCTAACACAAACGACTTTTGGAGTGAAGTGAATCTTTACAGGGACAGTGGTAACGAGAATCCGTTTAAAGAGTTGGCTAAATTTGCTTTGACAATATTAACACTACCTCATTCGAATGCTGAAGTCGAGAGACTGTTTAGTGCAATGAACATTATCAAAAGCAAATTACGCAATAGAATGCAACTGCCTATGCTAAATGCTCTCTTGTCTGTCAGAGCTGGCTTGAAACGACATGGAAAATGCTGTGATACATATGAAATGCCAAAGGACGTTATAAATAAAATAAACCGATACAACGAAATATCGAAGGATCCTCAGTATTACAATCACTTTTAACGACAATTTATTTTAATCTTACAAAATACATTTTATAGTTAACAAAAATGCATCAAATTCATGTCTTGGGCTTTGAGATAATGCTCTTGGTTTTTTTCCCAACGATCTTGGTGCTCTTGGTGCATAAATAACGATTTTGACATGTTTTGATCAAAATCCATGTGGTCCATAAAAATAGATCAAATTCATGTCTTAGATCATTGAGATAATGCTCTTGATCTTTTTCCCAACGATCTTGGTGCATAAATAACGATTTTGACATGTTTTGATCAAAATCCACGTTTTCGCCAAAAATGCATCAAATTCATGTCTTGGGCATTGAGATAATGCGCTTAGTCTTTTTCCCAACGCTCTTGGTGCATAAATAACGATTTTGACATGTTTTGATCAAAATCCACGTGGTCGCCAAAAATGCATCAAATTCATGTCTTGGGCATTGAGATAATGCGCCTAGTCTTTTCCCAACGATCTTGGTGCATAAATAATGATTTTGACATGTTTTGATCAAAATCCACGTGGTCGCCAAAAATGCATCAAATTCATGTCTTGGGCATTGAGATAATGCGCGTAGTCTTTTTCCCAACGATCTTGGTGCATAATTAACGATTTTGACATATTTTGATCAAAATCCATGTGGCCTCAGAAAAATAATTTAACATTTTTGAATCACACACATGCGGTTATCAAACGTGCACGTTATCAACTCTTTCAGCATCAAGATAATGCGTTTGAAAGCTTTTACAACTCTAAATTCATGTGTAAAGAATAATTTTGGGTACATTTTGCTCTAAAACTTTTGACCGAGACCACAGAGAAGAGTTATATTGAATTGTTACACATCTAAGAGTCATAGGGAATAATCTAGCGAAAGTCCGAACTCGATACATGACCTAGGGAATGAAATATGTTAATTTTTATTATATTGAGTTCGCAGTTTTTCCTGTTCCCGATTCACTCGAAGTCGTATAACTTTTGTTCCTGTTGAACCAGCTTCCTGAAAATAGCGTCCGTTCTTAATGTCCAACGTACCCGTATACCAAATTTCAACACAATCGGCCACTTTTAAAAAGAGTTAGAGCGCACACGGACGGACGGACGACAATACAAAACTATAAAGGATCTGAGGATCCTTAATAAAAACTATGGAAGTGTACAAATCCGATGATCTCGATGATTCTGTGTTAGATTTATTTATTACCGAGACAGATGATGTTATATAATGAATATTAATAATTATATGATATTGGAAGAATGAGAAAATCTCACTTTTTTATATTTATGTATGTTTTCACATTAGAACAATTTCTCAATGTGTTATTGATGTGAGATTATTTTTGCATTGTTTAGTTTTAGGATGTTCAAGTTTTATTTTTTGAATTTGAATTTTATGTTTATAACCCTGTTTCTTGAAGTGCAATGTTTTGTTTGGTTATTTATACTTTAACAGTATGTTGTAACAATTTATTTTTGTTATACATTTATGTAAGTTCTTCAAATAAATAACAAGCTATATAATTATAATTTATAAGTAATTTATTTTTAACCCTATTGTTGCACAGATCCTACAAAATAAAATTAGGTATCCAAAAATTAGAAAATTTTTGTAGTTTGTAATAAAAAAAATGTATGAGAAAATAATGACCATAATCTAGTAGATATTCTAGTAGATTCCCACTGCTGAATCTACCAGTAATTCTACCAGATTCAAAAAAATTTTCGCCTGCGGCGCGCAACGCCTTCGGCAAGCTTTTTAGTAGATTCTAGTGGAATCGAAAATGCTCTATAGAGGGGAGAGACCTAACAGAGTTGGCAACGCTGATCATTGCATTGAACCGATTTAAATTTAATTGCATTAACTTTCTTGCGAAAACGCTTACTATAGCAGTAAGCATTATTCCACTTTTGGTGTGTCACTAATAGGTTAATATTACTAAGAGTAGATTTGTAATATTGATTATATTATGGCGCGTAAGTGTCGCAAGTGTGCGGAGCCTGTTACGCGTTCCGAAGATTTTATACAATGTCTAGGCAAATGCTTAAGCTGTTTCCACGCAAAATGTGTTGGATTAAGTGAGAGTGATCTAAATTTTCTAAAAACCAGTGGCGAAATCGTGGGATGGTGTTGTGATAGTTGCAAGGTTCGGAATGAACCCCCATCGGCATGTGCCTCCACTGAAACGACCGATCCCGTAAGTAATGCCACTGGTATAAACTCTAATATTGCTCATTTAATACAACTAAGTATCGAAAATGCTTTCAACAAAATTATTCTATCCGAAATTACTGCATTAAAACATAACATGCAGTCCATTATCAATGAAAACACGAACCTTAAACTTGAACTTGCTAATCTCAAGGCGAAATTTAATAAACAAACATCTACATCGTATGCTTCAACGGTATCTGCTGGAAATGCCAGCTCTAACATAAATAAAGGAGCTATCCCAAAGATTAATACTGCAACCGAGATGACTACTCAATTAATTAGACCTCCATCCGTGGCCAAAACCTGCAGTGCTGTCCAAGTACCCGCCGCTACTAAATATCTGCCTCCAAATGCTTTAACTCTACCACCGCCACCACAAAATGCCAAATCTGTGGTAAATACTAGAACCATCGATGGCGATGGAGACTTCATAGAGGTTACCAAACGAAGGAAGCCAAAGAAGCCGCTTATTGAAGGATCAGCAGTTGGAATAAATTTAAAAGGAGTAAAATCCTTCTCTCACCTCCATGTCTACAATTTAGATCCTACAGTAACGGTTGAACAAGTTATTGAACATTTAAAAAGTCACGATTTTGATGAAGTCAAATGTGTCAAACTTAATTCGAAGCGGCCAGATGAGTACAGTTCTTTTCATGTGTCAGTGCCAAGTGAGTTATTTGAAACCCTGAAATCGCCCCACATATGGCCTAAAGGTGCACGAATGAACCATTTTTTATTCCGACTAGCCACCAATCTTCCAAAAACCTAACTCCTAAGATCTCCTCCTGCAGTAAAACCTCATTGCTATTTTTGTTGAATGTCCAAAGTATTAACAACAAAGTAAATAATCTTGAAGTGCTACTGAAAGACAGTCAACCATTACTACTCTGTCTTACTGAAACTTGGACCCATAGTGATCAAATCGATAATATACACATTGACAACTATTCGTTATCGAACTCATTCAGTAGATCTACTGCAAGGGGCGGTGGCTGTGCGATATGGCATCGTTTCGACACGATTGTATACCCAATTGACGTAACACCGTTCTCCGTTGAAAGAGTTTTTGAAGTGTGTTGCATTAAGTGGCATTACAAGAACATACAAATTAATGTTGTAAATATTTATCGCCCTCCGGGCAGTAATTATCACACATTTATTCACCAGCTGAATTTGATGTTAAATCTATTACACTCCTCATCGTCGTTTTTATTGCTGACCGGCGACTTCAATATTAACTTCGAGTGCCATGATGAGAAGTACACAGAACTTAGGAATGTATTACAATCCTTCAATTTGAGAATCATTGTGGAGTCGGCCACTAGGGTTACACAAAAATCTCACACAGCCATTGACAACATCTGCACTAATCTACCTTTTACGCTCTGTTATGAACTACTTGATGTCCATTTTTCCGATCATAAACTGATAAAAATCTGTGATGCGTCTGGAACTTCTGTGCAGTGCCCTACCACCTTCTTGTATAAGAGAATATACTCTGACAATAACATGCATCGGTTTTTAGAACTTCTTACAAGCGAATCTTGGGAGAACGTTTTCGAAACAGAAAATGTCAACGATAAATTCAATAATTTCTTTGCCACTTTTTTACACTACTATATGGTTTGATTTCCACTCAAAAAACGTCCGATGACACTCCGAACAAAGCCATGGATTACTCGTGAAATAATATCTTCAAACCAAAAGCTAAACGACCTGTACATACTACAAAAAATGTATCCTGGTCTGAAACACCGATTTGTGGCACTGAAAGCAGCCCATAGGATTTTATTGAGAAACACAAAATTCAATTACTTCAACTCCAAGATAATGGGAGCCAGGAAAAATATTAGCAAGACGACTTGGAAAATAATCAATTCACTCACAAATCAGCGTACCAGTATTCACCAAAATATGTCCCTCAATATTGAACAATCAGTGATCGAGTCTCCCACGAAATTGGCAAACTTGTTTAATGAATTTTTCCAGACAACACCCACCAACCTAGTTGAATCTATTCCTAAGTCAGATTTCCCTCAAGCTCACATTAAAAATCATGCAAATTCCTTTTACCTATTCCCATATGCCGAGTGCGAAGTATCAGACCTCTTTAATAAACTAAATAACAACAGCTCTCCTGGCGCTGACGGTATTGCTCCTCATATACTTAAACAAGCAAAACAACCTCTTACGAAGATAGTAACTCATCTTATCAACGCATCGTTTGCGTCTGGAATATTTCCATTGTGTCTTAAAAAGTCTGTCATAATCCCTATTTTTAAAAAAGGAGACGCCTCTAGCATTTCTAATTATAGACCGATTGCTCTTAGTTCTTGCATTGGCAAACTACTGGAGCATGCTATGCTACAACGAATATCAACATATTTCGATAAACACGAATTAATCTCCGATAAACAGCATGGGTTTAGATTAGGAATGTCAACCATTACGGCGAACTTGGAACTTTACAACAATATAGTTATCGACCTAGAAAATAAAACAGCTCCTGTAGGAATCTTTTACGACCTTAGCAGAGCGTTCGACTGCGTTAATCACGATCTCTTAACTTTAAAACTGAAAAAGTATGGTATTAGAGCAATCCCGCTTCATTGGTTCGCCTCCTACTTATCTGGGAGATCTCAATTCGTACGAATATCACATTTCTCTAAGGACTCACGAGTAAATTATCACTCCAAAGAGCTACCTATCAGAATTGGAGTACCACAAGGAGCGATCCTATCTCCTTTCCTATTCTCGTTGTATATTAATGATCTAATTACATACCTTCCCACCAACGCAGTCACTCTTTACGCAGATGACACGACCGTTCTCGTCAGTAGCAGCCAAAGCAACATTGAAAAGGACTCTAATTCCATCTCAAACGCCATGTTCCAATGGTGTACAGGAAATCAACTAATTTTAAATAGAGAAAAAACGAAATATACACGCTTTCATTCCTCAACATCACATCAGAGTGTTCAACAATTATCCCTGAATATTGCAGGGTCACGAATCGAATACCAGGAGAACATTAAAATCTAGGCATCACCTTCTCCTATGATCTCAAATGGAAGTTGCACATCGAAGCTATCAGTCGAACTATCTCCAAATCTATTTATAAGCTCCGATTCCTCAGAGACGCAGTTGGCATCCCGGCACTAAAAGCTGTTTACACTGCAGATGTTGAATCCCGATTGCGTTATGGTATTATCATTTGGGGACCCAGTCCTCATGTTCATCGGGCTCTACTTTACCAAAAACGTGCGATCAGAGCGATCTTCAAGGTGGCAAGTCGTACCTCATGCAGACATCTGTTTGTCGATCTAGGCGTTCTGACTGTCATCTCTCTGTATATCCTTGAAGCCGCCACATATGTACATAAACGCAAAAGAAATTTGATTCTTGAAAACAACGCAGTACATAAATATAATACAAGATGTAACAATGTAAGACCCCCTCTACATAGACTTGCTCTCACCGCTAACAGCACGCGCTGCATGCCGATTAAAGTATATAATCACCTACCCGCTACATTTAAGATCCATCACGTCAATCTTTTTAAGAAGAAGGTCAAGAATATATTAATGTCTAAACCATACTACAGTTTGATTGAATTTTTCGAAGACTCTTTTTAATTTCCAAACATTGTTTTTTTTTTGCTTTGATATTATTGTGACGATCCTGTGACGCATTATATTTGTCTTTATAGGGAATAAAGTTATTATTATTATTATGGTCGGTGTTTCTTGTGAGAACTCAGGTCTAGCCTGGTTAACTAATCGCACGGATTAAAATCAAGTAACGATTAGTGTCTGTGTCTGATGAAGTTATGTAGGGTCCTTAAAAAAAAAAATAAATAAGAAAAAAAAATAAAAAAAAAATAAAATAAAAAAAAAATATCACACACGTACATTGGACATCTAGGGATAGTATGTAATTCGTACTTACCAACATACCTATTGGTGGGCACAATAGCCAACGCTATCAGGAAAGAGGAAAACAAAACAAAACAAAACAAAATCATTATAATAATTCCTGTAATTTTATTAAATGGAGTTTATTGTGTAAGTGTTTCTTTGGCTTTGCGTTTGGGTTGAATACGAGGGGGTTGTGATAACGTGGTGTGCTTCTGTGAAGAAGGAGTTTTGTGTTTTTTAATTGTATTTATGGTGTTTCTTTGTTCCCGAGGTCGTATTTGTGAGGTTGCTTGGGTTTTTGGTGGAGATATTGCAGTATTTTGTGAGCCTGTGGTGCTGTTAAGGTTTTTGCGTTTCGGTTGTATACGAGTGGGTTGTTTCTGAGAAGAAGGAGTATTGTGTTCTTTAACTGTGCTAGGGCGTGTAACTTTATTGGATGGACCTGTCTTTGTAGTACATGTTGCGTTACTTGTGTTTATGGTGTTTCTTTGTTCTTGAGGTCGTATTTGTGAGGTTGCTTGGGTTATTGATGGAGATATTACAGTATTTTGTGAGCTAGTAGTGCTGTATAGGTTTTTGCGTTTGGGTTGAATACAAGTGGGTTGTGATAACGTGGTGTGCTTCGGTGAAGAAGGAGTTATGTGTTTTTTAATTGTGCTAGGGCGTGTAACTTTATTGGGTGGACCTGTCTTTGTAGTGCATGTTGCGTTACTTGTATTTATGATGTTTCTTTGTTCTTGAGGTTGTATTTGTGAAATTGCTTGGGTTTTTGGTGGAGATATTTTAGTATGTTGTGAGCCTGTAGTTCTGTTAAGGTTTTTGCGTTGCGGTTGAATACGAGTGGGTTGTGAAAATGTGGTGTGTTTCTGTGAAGAAGGAGTTTTGTGTTTTTTAAATGTGCTAGGGCGTGTAACTTTATTGGATGGACCCGTCTTTGTAGTGCATGTTGCGTTACTTGTATTTATGGTGTTTCTTTGTTCTTGAAGTTGTATTTCTGTTGTTGCATGGGTTATTGGTGGAGACATTACAGTATTTTGTGAGCCTGTAGTGCTGTTAAGGTTGTTGCGTTTGGGTTGAGTACGAGTCGGTTGTGTTTGTGATAACGTGGCGTGTTTCTGAGAAGAAAGAGTATTGTGTTTTTTAGCTGTGCTAGGCCGTGTGGGTGAGGGCGTCTTTGTAGTGCGTGTTGCGTTACTTGTATTTATTGCGTTTGTTTGTTCAGGAAGTTGTGTTTGTGTGATTGGTTGAGTTAAGTTTGGAAATATTACAGTATGTTGTGTGTCATGTTGTGAGTCTAAAGTGCTGTTTAGGCTTTTGCGTTTGGGTTGAATACTAATGGGTGGTGATAATGTGGTTTGCTTCAGAGGTGAATCTCTGATTGTAGTATATGTTGTATCATTTGTTGTACTTGTTTGTTCGGTAAGTTGTATTTGTGTGTTTGTTTGGGTTAGAGGTGGAGATATTACAGTATGTTGTGTACCGTGTTGTGAGCGAGTACTGTTGTTTACATGTATACGCTGTGGATCATTTCTGTATGTAGTATCTTGTGTTATGTTTAGAAATTTACGAACAATATGGCATGTGTTGATAATGACTGCTTTTTGTAAATGTTTGTATGTGTTTTTGTCTAAACCTAATAGTTGTAAATTGTGGTGTTTTGTCTTTGGTATAACTCCAGTAGCACTAAGAATAATGGGAACTATAACAGTAGATTTCATTCTCCATTGCGTCTTAAGCTCGATAGCTATATCGGTGTATTTGCGGTGTTTTTCTGCATGTATTTTAGTTAAGTTGTTAGTGTTGGGGATGGCAATGTCTATAATACAAATGGATTTTTGTGTTTTATCTATAA